CGCTTTCTCCTCTCCCCTCCAGTTCCCTTGTTCCGTTGTGGGGGGGTGCTTCCCTCGCTGCTTTTTCTCTCCCCGCTCCCCACGAAAGCGCTCCAGGCGGAATGCCTCCTGTCCCCTTCCCCTGTCGTCCTTCTCCCCAGGAGCCTCGGAAGGCGTCCTGAGGAGGGAGAGAGAGAGAGAGGGCCTGGCGCCTCCTCCCTTGAATCCCCCGTCGGGGCGCCGCCCCTTCCCCTCGAACAATAGGCGAGGGGCTAGTCCTGTCAAAAAGGGAACGGAGGGGGGGAAGGAGGACCGGCCCCACCGCCGCGGAACCGACTCTGCACCGCCGCCCGCCCGTTTGAGGAGGAGGAGGGGGGGGGCGACGGTGGCGAGGGAACAATAGCCGAGCCTTCAAGACGGACTACCTCGCTCGCTCGCCCTTCTTTGTCTTGCTGCCGCCGCCGCCGCCGCCCCACTCGCTCTGGTCAGCAGAACAGCCCCTTCCTACGAGGAAAGGGCCAGAGAGAAGGGAGCCGCCTCAGACTAAGCGGCTCCTGTCACCGAACCCCACCCAGTCCCCACCTTTGTGTAAGTGTGGGGAAAAAACAACCGCCCTACATAACGCTCCGCCGCCGTCTGGCCCGTCTCGTTATTAAAAAAAAAAAAGCCCGGCAAACAGACCTCGACCGAAGCGTCCCTATCTCCACAACCTCCTTCCCGGCCCCCGCCTGAGGGTCCACCATATGCGCGCAGCCCACCTCACCCTCCTCCCCCCGTACAAACACACATATTACACGCACCCCGCGGCCGCCGAGCCCACCTGCTCTCGCCGCCGCCACACACCGACTCCGCTCGCGACTGCCCTGCCCGCGCCACAAAAGCGCCAAACAAAGGCACGTGACCGCGCGGGGGGCCACGCCCCTTAAAACTGCTTCTCGCAACAACAGACAGAATGAGCAACATCGGCACCCTTCCAACAACCGAAATGAATCCAAAGGTATAATAGAATGTCTTCAAAAGGAAACATTTTTGGATCACGCTCTTGCTAATTCTTAAGACTGTTGCCTTTCTGCAGAAGTCTCGGAACTGTAGTCCGGAGATGATAGATTATAATGGGGGGAGAGAAAGGGACTGAGGAAATGGAGGCAGTTTGGGGCGGGTGGGCAGGCAAGGCTTGGTGGTGGTGGTGGTGGGAGTTTTGCTGCTGAGCCGGCCGTGTGGGGTCAGAAGCCACCCTTGGCTTCCAATGCCTGGTGAGGGGAGAGGGGCGAGACCCTCTCCCTTTGTGCCCCTTCTCTTCGAAGGCCGCTCCTGGCCCTCAGAAGCCCCCCCCCACGGAGGTATTTGGGGCCTGAGGGGGGCACACGGACAAGGAAACAGGCCCCTCTGGTGGGAAGAGGCCCTTTGAGCAGGCCCTGCCTGGGAAGCGGCTGCGGTTTCCTCTTCCACACTGAGGTCTTTCGGGGCCTGGGGGGGCACACGGACAAGGAAACAGGCCCCCCCTCACACATGCACCCTATCTGACCCAAGTTCACCTGGAAAAGGTGTAGAGGAGAGCGGTTCAAAGGATGATGGGCCTGGGGCACCTCCTTTACAAGGAAAGGCCACAGCGTTCGGGGCTCTTGAGTCTCTAGAGAAAAGGCGCCTGAGGGCGGGGGGACACAACTGAGACCTATAAAATTGTGCAGGGAATGGATAAAGTGGAGAGAGCGAAGCTGTTTTCCCTCTTATGCAGTACTAGAACCAGGGGACATCCACTCCAGTGGAGCGCTGAGAGAGTGAGAACAGACAAAATAAAATTATTTCTTGACCCAGCATGTTGTTCGTCTGTGGAACTCCTTGCCACAGGATGTGGTGATGATGGCCTCTGGCCTAGATGCCTTTCAAAGGGAACTGGACAGATTCCTGGAGGAAAAGTCCATCACAGGTTACAAGCCATGGTGGGGATATACAATCTCCAGGTTTAAAAGGAAGGGACCTCCAAATGCCAGATGCAGGGGAAGGGGTATCAGGAGACAGGGATCTCATTGTCTCATGGGCTCCCAGAGGCCTCTGGTGGGGCCACAGTGAGATACAGGGAGCTGGACTAGATGGGCTCTTGGCCTGATACAGCAGGGCTCTTATGTTCTTAACATTCCTTTAACCCGCCTTTCTCCTTGAAAAGGCCTGAAGGTGGATTACAACACTGCAAGGCAAACATTCAAAGTTTAAAACATTGCACCTGTCAAACTGTAACGCAGGTGTCCTAAGGCAAGCTCAGGGAGGACAGAAACCTATCACGGAGCAAAAGGGCAAAAGCTCGCTTGATCTTGATTTTCAGTAGGAATGCAGATCGTGAAAGCGGGGCCTAGTGATCTTTCTGACTTTTCGGGTTTTAAGCAGGAAGTTTCAGAAAAGTTACCTCAAGGGAAACTCACTTGCAGCAGCCAAGCATTCATAGTGAGGTTGCTTTTTGATCCTTTGATGTCAGCTCTTTCTATCCTTGTGAAGCAGAATTCAAGCATTGGATTGTTTACCCACTAATAGCGAACGTGAGCTGGGATTAGACCGTCAGGAGACACGTGGCTCACACTGACCCTGATTGATACGGATCTCGTTTTTGCTGTGTTAAAGAGAAGAAGGCTCCTGTACCTTAAAAAGCTTTTTGGACAAGCAGATTTCAGCAGGTGTGGCTACTCTGCAAGTGCCCAAGCAATGGTTTCCTTGTGGGATTGTCTGATTTGCACAGTGGTATGGAGTGTCCAGATAATGTCTTCCATTTAAACTCACTTTTGTTTCCTTCCCCATTAAGGATGGAAAGACAGAAGATACTTCCATATGGGGCAGCTCCTAGTATGGACAATTAAAGACATGCTACTGCCATTCCATCTTTTTTCATTAACAAATTTATTTTATAAAAGACAATCACCTTAGCTTCTTCATGGAGTTATGCACAGGCAAGTGGGTTTTCAAACAAATATCTTCTGTTTTAAACCTCCTATATCTTCTCGCCTTGGAAGTAGGGAGTAGGAGAGAAGAGGTTGATCAGAGGATGAGTTTGAGGAGTATAGCATCCATGCAAGCAGGCAGGGTCACAAAAAAGGCCAAATAATACTTTCTCGGCCTAGGGAATTAAAGAGGCAAGAAGTGGATTTGAATTCCCTCTGTGCAAATTGCTCAAAAACTTTTAAGTTCCCTACACAGCAGACAGTGGGAGATGTTTGCAAGGATGCCACCCAGTTCGGCTGGAGTTATTTGACACTCCCCTTGTGGACCAAGAGCTCATGAAATCAATCTGGCATTATGACAGAATGTATTTGTTACATTTATATCCTGCTTTTCTATCAGTGAGCTTAAAGCAGTTGATATGCCTTGTCTCTACTTTGCCCCCACAACAACCCTGTGAGGGAGGTAACCTCTAACACAGTCTGCATGAGCTGAATGAGTTTCACAAGAAAGATTTTATTTTTAAAAAACACTTAATATCTGCAGGGCTAAATTGCTGTCATTTTGACACGCTAACAATAAAACCACCTTTTGCATTTCACTATGTAATTCAAATAGAAAACCTGCATGGTTAAACATTCTAAATACAGTTGTTAAGTACCCCATACATAAAATTAGTGTAGTATTTCATGCTGTTCGGAGGGGGAGAGGGGAAACCCAATCACAACTCTTTAGGCATCTTAAAGATTAAGAACTACGTTGTGGCATACATTTTGCTCCCCTTGTGTTGTTGAGGAAAGCTTGGCTTATGATAGGAATTCATAAAAACGCCACAGGACTCTTCACTGTTTGTGTTGCAACAGATGAATAGGACTTTCCCTTTGCGAGGGAAATTATAGTCCTGTGCACCACAGTCCGGCACATCTGCCCTACATCTTTTAATTTAAAAAGATTTTTTTGCAAATAGTATCGGCTTGCTGTCATAGCTTCCGAACAAAGAATCCTTGAGAACAAGCTCTGAAAGAATGCCAAGCACAGCAGATGCGATCCGATTTGTAGTCCTCATTATGGAACTACAGTTCCCAAAGTTCCTTGGAGAGAAAGCTTGAAGCGGGTTCAGATTTTTCACGAAGCCGAGCCCTTAAAACCCACATGCTGTGTAGCCATAGCTTGGCTTTCTATTCCCTGTTAATGGCATTTTGGCATTTCCCCAACTGACACAAAACCATCCTTGTTCTCCTCTTGTGGTATGGGTGCGCACATGTGAATGGTCCTTCTCCGGGGAACCTCTGCCTCATTATGGTACAGCAGGTGCCCACAAAACATTCCCGGGTTTCCAACAATAGGACACAAGTCGGCTCTGTCACACTCTGCGTACCGGCAGCGCCTTTCATTTGTCCACACCCTGCTAGATCTTCTTAAGGTTCTTTTATTAACATTTGTAAAATGCTGGCAGATGCTTTGGTGGAAAAAATGCTATAAAAAGACTAATTAACATATTCACATGGGCTGTCATAAATTGTGCCTTGTAACTGTAATGGGGATGAAACAGCCGCTTCAGACATCCAGGAATAAAACACCACCGCTAGCACACAAAACATGCACAAGTGACGACAGCAAAGAGATTTTAGAAATCTGTTAATAGGTTTAATTTTAAAATCTCCCATCCTGCCATTTCTTTGTTGCTTAAGGCATAAATAAACCACTTGCAAATGGTTTTTCTCCACATAGAGATTTCTTCCCCTGCATCGGCAGGGAAAAATTGCTGCCCCAGCTCCATGCGCCCCTTCATGGCTGTTTATGTCGACCCTGGATCGACACCTCCAAACAGCATTTTCCCCAGGAAAAAAAAAAGAAAGAAAGAGGGAGGAAAAAATAAAGCTGGTTGCTGCTCCTGAAGCCTCCAGGAATAGTAGCTCACTTTTTAAATAGGCCACAACTGCCCCTTCCAATTTAATACAAAAAATAGCCTTTTTACAAAACTGGGTGTTTTTGTCTGATCACTTCCGTTTTGTTTCTTCTGATTTTTGCCCTTCGTGGTGCTCCACGTGCCTCCTGGAGAATCTGGGGCAGAACATTCTTCCTCAGACCTGCAACGGTTATTACCAACTTACTTTCAAAACAGCATGTCAGTCAAGCCTCTGCTCATGACTTGCATTTGATCCCACTTGGGTTCAGGTAGCTGGCTCAAGGTTGACCTAGCTTTCCACCCTGAGGTCAGTAAAATGAGTACCCACTCACCAGGGGGGAAAGTGTTCCCTGGATAATGATGTTGTAACCCCCCCCCTCCGAGAATGCTCTAGCACTATCAGGAGGTATATAAATTCAAACAATACTAATAACACTTCATAGTAAACATTCTACGTTCACTGCAGTTTAACTGCTGTGAGTCCGGTGATGCAGGGGTTAAACTGCTGTACTACAGTTAAGCCTCTGTGCACTATGGGGAACCATATAAGTCGAAACAATACTGACAATAACAATAATAAATCTCTGGGGTGGGACTGAGTGTGGGCTTGATCCAAAATGTAACTCGGTTTACCTAGCATTATCTTCAGGTCTACATATTTAACCTTTTTCTTGTGTCAGGTTAAGACAGAGAAAATAGGTATGCGTGTATGCCCAGAAATGCACACATTACATAAATCCGGTCGAAGCCCTAGAATGGGCGGTCGTGGTTTTCCCTGTGAGGACAGGGTCACTTGAGGAAAGTGATTCGACCAGACCCGTCCTTGAACCATCCACCTCCGGAGGGAGATTGGGCCAGACACCCTCGTTGTGGGACAATACGTGCGGGTCCGGAATGCTCCATGGAGGAAGCCCACCGATCGGGAACGTTTCGGACCAGCCCCTCCATGAATCCTGTCAATTTACAGACTGAGTGATCATCCTCCCAAATCGAACCGTTACCAGATTCTGAACCGTTAGAACTTGTTGTAGATTTCACAAAATATTTAACTGAATAAATATGTTAA